GAGGGCGTGGGTGGTGTCACGGACATAGGTAGGGAGTTCCTGGACCAAGGGGGAGAAAATGGAGTCGAGATAGTTGGAGATCAGTTCGGTGGGGCAGGAGCAGGCGGAGACAATGGGTCGACCAGGGCATTCAGGTTTGTGGATTTTGGGAAGGAGATAGAAGCGGGCAGTGCGAGGTTGGGGAACAATGAGGTTGGAGGCCGTGGGTGGGAGGTCACCTGAGGTGATGAGGTTGTGGATGGTTTGCGAGATGATGGTTTGGTGCTCGGGGTGGGGTCATGATCAAGGGGGCGGTAGGAGGAGGTGTCGGAGAGATCCTCTTCACTGCTTGTTTCAACTCCTCTAGTCTAGTTTTCAAGCCGAATCCTAACTGTAGCCAGTGAATGATGGTCAGCATTTTCACTACCTTTGGTACAGGCCTGCCAACATCTATCTTTTTGCGCACTAATTCTTAGTTGATTACAGATCACCCAAAGCCAAAACTGCAACTGTCCTTCTCTCCATGATACCTCTAGGGAAACCTGTAATAGCATCCTCTCGTACTAACCGGAAACACACTAGCCCTGTATCCAAATAGAAATATTATCAGCTATCTCTATCACTATCTCCACCTTGGGTAAGAAATTACAGCTTCCAGCACAAATATTTCTGACCTGATACCAACAGTTTTCTGGGTTTTAGGATACTTAGTGTCTCCTATTTGTGCACCTAGGAACAGCTGTCATCATTCAGAGTTAACCTTAACAACACAATGTATGTCTCATTTGGATCTCAATTAAACCATCCAGGTTTACCGTCACAGAGTGCAGCATTGGTTACATTATTTCCAATATTTAACTTACATTTAAAGAAATGTTCCACATCACATCTTTTAACTAAATATATAGTCTTAAAACATAAAGCTCTCAACTGTAAGAGTGAACATATCCCAAACTGAAAATCAGACTAAGACTTTGAGTTTAATTTAAAACTTAACAATTATAAAACATGAACTACAAGGCAGGAAAATCAAACTGAAGATCTTTTTGTTGGGTGAATTTTTAAATTTATTGACCCATTGGTTACAGCTACTTACGTTTTAAGACAAGCTCTGAACTTTTCTCAGGACCCTGTTTAAAAAAAAAGTTTAGGTTAGCTGAGTTTTTATATGAAATAGCTGTTGTAGAATACCCCATTTCTCAATGCATATTTATGAGACATTTGTAGATTTGAGATTAAGTTTCAACTTCTGTTTCTGTAGCCACCATTCTCTGTCAGATATTTTCACTTACAGCTGTGATAAAGTTCTCTTCCCAAATTTAGTGCACAAGCAGCAGGTTGGGCTAGGGGATGACCATTGCCTCAAGTGAACAGTGTATGCAGCATGGAGCACCCATTAAGAAGGCCCTTCACCAACCTCCCCGTCTGAAACCCTCCAGGGTTTTCGTGGTGGTTTCCCCATAGAATGGCAAGTCCTCCAGAAACCAAATACCAATGGAAGTAGGCTGAAGCACTTCAACGGCCAGCTGATTGGTAGGTGACCAAGTCACTGACGTATCCATCAGTACAAACATGCCAAGATGGTGGAAAGAGAACAGGTTGTCCTTCCAATGCTCTCCCCGACAAGCCCTCCAATTATTGCCAATTGCACGAGCAAACAACATTAATTATTGAAAATTAAAACCTCTGTTTTGTTTAACACTTACTTATGTGACTACTGTAAAATACTATCACATTACACTGGTTTATTAAGGTAATATCATTAGCTGGTATTTGTAACTCACTCTGCCAACTATTGTCGACTACACAATTGTATCATGGCTGAATGTGAATGATGTTTGGGGTCAGCAAGCACAGCCTAAACAAAAGACACATTCCCTTGTCAAATAAAAGCAAATGCAAAAGAAAAACCACCAAATCTGCACCTGTATATTGGTTTTGATAAAATACACAAATCCTTCTCAAGCAAACCCTCCAACTTGGGAATCTGGTATGCAGGCACAAGGGAAAACAAGATCCTTTAAATTTCTTCAGGTGTCGAATCAAAATGATCAGACTCCCTTCTGGAAATCTATTGCTGGCATCTACAAAGATGGACATACTATTTCTGGGGAATAGAAATAGCAATAGCACACATAACATGGTTAGAATAACTGAATGTCCCAAAGGGCTTCACAGGAGAGGTATAAAGCAAAATTAGACACCAAGTCATACAAGGCGATATTAGAATTGAAAGCCAAAAGGCCACTGGTGTAATCAAATTGATACGACCAAGATTTCCCCTTTGCCCAGAAAAGCTAACTACTAACCTATTATCCTCCCTCTAAATTAATAGTTAGATTTCTTCAAAGTGAGTTAGACTGGTTAGTAATGAATGTTCCGGTTTTCATAACCAACATTAGAACCAGTAAGGAAGATGTCACTTCTTACCTTGTTGACGACTTTCTTTTTCAAGGCGGCAGCTTCTCGAAATCGAGACGGTACTACCCGAGCCCCTACAAGAAATAGGAAGAGAAACTTCAAAAAATTCAACTGCATTGTAGTGATTTTTAAAAATTAAATTTAAAATATTAAGTAGGAAATTACTATTATGTTTGTTAAAAAAATGCAAATGTCGAATAGACATGGATAAAGTAAAATAGTACACAGCTGAGAAGGTGCAAACTGATGAGTAGCAGTTCTGAAAGTTGCAAGATTGAATCTTAAGGCCCTTTTATTTCCTTTATCGATGGAGAGGCAGTTAACTGAAACCAAGCAATCTGCATAATTTCAACACAACATCACATCAATAGCTGCAGAATTTAATCTGCAGATGAAACCCTTCTACAAGCTCATCTTGAATATTGCATCGAGTTTTCTTCTCTTTAAAGGGAGGGATATACTTCATTGGAAACAATTCAGAGACAGTTCACTACATTGATTATAAGAGATAACAAGGTGTAGAGCTGGATGAACACAGCAGGCCAAGCAGCATCAGAGGAGCAGGAAGGCTAACGTTTTGGGCCTAGACCCTCTATCAGAAATGGGGGAGGGGAAGGGGGTTCTGAAATAAATAGGGAGAGAGGGGGAGGCGGATAGAAGAGAAGATAGGTGGAGAGGAGACAGACAGGTCAAAGAGGCGGGGATGGAGCCAATAAAGATGAGTGTAGGTGGGGAGTTAGGGAGGGGATAGGTCAGTCCAGGGAGGACGGACAGTTCAAGGGGCGGAATGAGGTTAGTAGGTAGGAGATGGGGGTGGGAGGAGGGGACAGGTGGGACGAAGGACAGGTTAGGGAGGCGGGGACAAGCTGGGCTGGTTTTGGGATGTGGTAGGGGGAGGGGAGATTTTGAAGCTTGTGAAGTCCACGTTGATACCATTGGGCTGCAGGGTTCCCAAGCGGAATATGAGTTGCTGTTCCTGCAACCTTCGGGTGGCATCGTTGTGGCACTGCAGGAGGCCCAGGATGGACATGTCGTCTGAGGAATGGGGGAGGGAGTTGAAATAGTTCGCGACTGGGAGGTGCAGTTGTTTCGTGCGAACTCAGCATAGGTGTTCTGCAAAGCGTTCATCAAGCCTCCACTTGGTTTCCCCAATGTAGAGGAGGCGACAACAGGAACAGCGGATACAGTATACCACATTAGCAGATGTGCAGGTGAACATCTGCTTGATGTGGAAAGTCTTCTTGGGGCAGGTGTAGCACTTCCTGCGGTTGCAGGGAAAATTGCCGGGTGTGGTGGGGCTGGAGGGGAGTGTGCAGCGGACAAGGGAGTCCTGGAGAGAGTGGTCCCTCCGGAAAGCAGATAAGGTTGTGGAGGGAAAAATGTCTTTGGTGGTGGGGTCGGATTGCAGATGGCGGAAGTGTCGGAGGATGATGCGTTGGATCTGGAGGTTGGTGGGATGGTACGTGAGGACGAGGGGGATTCTGTTTTGGTTGTTATTGCAGGGAGGGGGTGTGAGGGATGAGTTGCGGGAAATGCGGGAGACACTGTTGAGGGCGTTCTCGACTACTGAGGGGGGGCACTGAAATTCCTCCCATTTCCTACAGACAAAGGTGGTGGCGGCCATGGGTACCTGCATGGGCCCAAGCTGTGCCTGCCTCTTTGTAGGTTACGTGGAACAATCCCTCTTCCATAGCTACACTGGCCCTAAACCCCACCTCTTCCTCCGTTACATTGATGACTGTATCAGCGCCACCTCGTGCCCTCACATTCATCCACTTCACTCACACCTCCCACCCCAACCTTAAGTTCACCTGGACCATCTCTGATACCTCTCTCTCCTTCCTGGACCCCTCTGTTTCCATCTCTGGCAACCACCTGGAAACCGATATCCATTTCAAGCCCACCGACTCCCACAGCTACCTAGAATACACCTCCTCCCACCCACCTTCCTGCAAAAATGCCATCCCCAATTCCCAATTCCTTCGCCTCCGCCCCCAGGATGAGGCATTCCACTCCCATACATCTCAGATGACCTCGTTTTTCAAGGACCGCAACTTCCCCCCGCCTCAGTGGTCGAGAACACCCTCAACAGTGTCTCCCGCATTTCCCGCAACTCATCCCTCACACCCCCTCCCTGCAATAACAACCAAAACAGAATCCCCCTCGTCCTCACGTACCACCCCACCAACCTCCGGATCCAACGCATCATCCTCCGACACGTCCACCATCTCCATTCCGACCCCACCACCAAAGACATTTTTCCCTCCCCACCCTTATCTGCTTTCCGGAGGGACCACTCTCTCCAGGACTCCCTTGTCCGCTGCACACTCCCCTCCAGCCACACCACACCCGGCACTTTTCCCTGCAACCACAGGAAGTGCTACACCTGCCCCAAGAAGACTTTCCACATCAAGCAGATGTTCACCTGCACATCTGCTAATGTGGTATACTGTATCCGCTGTTCCCGTTGTCGCCTCCTCTACATCGGGGAAACCAAGCGGAGGCTTGGTGACCGCTTTGCAGAACACCTATGCTCGATTCGCACTAAACAACTGTACCTCCCAGTCGCAAACCATTTCAACTCCCCCTCCCATTCCTCAGATGGCACGTCTATCCTGGGCCTCCTGCAGTGCCACAACGATGCCACCCGAAGGTTGCAGGAACAGCAACTCATATTCCGCTTGGGAACCCTGCAGCCCAATGGTATCAACGTGGACTTCACAAGCTTCAAAATCTCACCTCCCCCTATCGCAAAACCAGCCCAGCTCGTCCCCGCCTCTCTGACCTGTCCTTCCTCCCACCTATCCCCTCCTCCCACCTCAAGCCCCACCCCCATCTCCTACCTACTAACCTCATCCTGCCTCCTTGACCTGTCCATCCTCCCTAGACTGACCTATCTCCTCCCTAACTCCCCACCTACACTCACCTTTACTGGCTCCATTCCCGCCTCTTTAACCTGTCTGTCTCCTCGCCACCTATCTTCTCCTCTATCCATCTTCTATCCGCCTCCCCCTCTCTCCCTATTCATTTCAGAACCCCCTTCCCCTCCCCCATTTCTGAAAGAGGGTCTAGGCCCGAAACGTCAGCCTTCCTGCTCCTCTGATGCTGCTTGGCCTGCTGTGTTCATCCAGCTCTACACCTTGTTATCTCAGATTCTCCAGCATCTGCAGTTCCTACTACCTCTCACTACATTGATTCTTGGGATGAAG